AAAGAATCCAAGTTCGAAAGCATATGTATATTTGCCAGGTGACATGTTGAGAAGCGTGTTTCTGGAAAAGCCCTTCTAAACTTATTTATTTGTTGTTTTCTGTTTTTGTTTTAGCCTTCTGGAACCATTTTATTTGGGTGTAGGGAAATTGCAAAAGCATAATTCCTCAACAAATTCCTAGGTATTCACTGGGAACGGAGGGCCCTCTATTATTTTTTATTTTTTTTCTACTTTTTTATTATTGGGGATTCGTTGAGGGTACAAAGAACCAGGTTACACTGATTTGTTAGGTAAAGTCCCTCTCATAATTATGTCCCACCCCCAAGAGGTATGTCACACACTGTGACTCCCCACCCTCTTCCTCCTTCCCTGTCTCTGCTCCCCCTTCCCACGCCCCCATCATATACTGGGTCATCAATTGTCTTCATATCAGAATTGAGTATACTGGATTCTTCTCCATTCTTGTGATGCTTTACTAAGAAGAATGTGTTTCACCTCCATCCAGGTTAAAAAGATGTAAAGTCTTCATCTCTTTTAGTGGCTGAATAGTGTTCCATGGTATACATATACCACAGCTTGTTAATCCATTGTGTCAGTCTCCCAGGGCATAGACCTTCCCTCATTTATGCCTGAAACTTTACTGTAGCAGCCCGTATAGCCTATGGCTAGGAGGAATGAGTTATAGGAAATACCTGTAATGGAACACCTTGGTGAAAAGGGCATGGAGAGAGATTTAGTTCTAACAAGCATGAGTGAGCTCGCGAGATGAGAGCTTTGGTGAATTGGCAGTCTCTACACCTGTGGTGGTAAGAAGCACGAGCTCAGCCTTCTATTAGGCTGGAGGAGCAGGCAGTCAAAAAGCAGGCGCGTTCTATCACGGATCCACTTACTCTGACTGTCTCCTCTTCTGCTTGCAGAACGCCAGCACGGTGTCTTTCTGCTGAAGATTACCAAGCTCTGCTAAAGACTAAGATCTATCTGTTCTAAGAATCCCTTTACTCTCTCTAAGACTCTCTCTCTCTCCCCCCAGCTAAAGTAGATAGCCCTCAAGCACCTCAGAGAAACTGTTCCTGAGCAAAGTAGCTTAGCAGTCCACATCCGGAACCTACCTAAGCCGGGCCCGAGACCTGGCCAGTCCCAGGCCCTGACAAGTGGTGTCAGAAGCAGATCCTGACACTTTACAGCTTCACTCCTACCCCAACTGACTCTCACATTTACCCCCAGATGTTATGATTGACTTTGTCTCAAACTGATAAAGGAAAGGAGATTCCCTCCCTAGAGGATTTCACGTCACATTTAAATGATGGGTTGGGTGCCTGTTTGGATTCCACTTTTGACATTTTATAGAGATATATACAGTATGTCTTCAAAACATAAAATGCTGTGATCTCCTTGAGCACAATAGAGAAAATTTTACAGATGTAAGGGGAGAGGGAACCAGGTTTAAATTAGGAACATATTTTAAATAACAGGTTACATGAAAATTACATTTTCTTTTCTTTTCTTTTCTTTTTTTTTGAGATACAGCCTCAAGCTGTTGCCCCAGGTAGAGTGCTGTGCCATCATAGCTCACAGCAACCTCCAACTCCTGGGCTCAGGTGATTCTCCTGCCTCTGACTCCCAAGTAGCTGAGACTACAGGTGCCCACCACAATGCCTGGCTATTTTTTGGTTGCATCTGTCATTATTGTTTGGCCGGCCCAGGCTAGATTCGAACCACCAGCTCAGGCTAAGATGCCAATCTTAGCTGCTTGGGCCACAGGCGCTGAGCCGAAAATTACGTTTTCTTATCAGCAACTTCTTGTTTGGGGTCTGAGATGATCAGTATGCACTACAAAGGAGTTTCTTTTTTCATCTTTGAATGTGGAAAAATAAATAAGTAGGAGGGGGTCAAGGAGTGACACGAGCCCCAGCTGGGTTACAAGGTTTGTTGACTTTGGGTAGATTGACCTCTCTTGACCTTATTCCCCCTCTGAGAATGGGAAGAACAGCCTTACATACAGCTTGAAAGAAATAATATATGTGAAAATATTCTTAGAACTATAAAGAGATTATAATTGTTTTTTAAATATACTTTCCAAGTAGATATTGTTTTTCCCTAGTCAATAAGTCAGCTCTTATTTCCCAATTCCATTTCTAGAATTATTCTCAAACCCACTCTGGGATATAGTTTGAATAAAAGACTCTGAGCACAGATTATATTTTCAGCTAGAGATTATTTAGCTTCCTATTTACTGTGCAACATTAAAGATTTTCCTCCTAACTTAAAAAAAATTTAAGACCAATAAAATCCAAACAGATTATTTCTGGAATATTCTTTGAGTCCTGGCGATTTTAAGCATTTTATAGTTCTATGCCAAAGTCCTGCTTCACTTAAACATACTAGATAATTCAGCTTTGAACTCAAACTGTCCATTTTAAAAATTGTCAGCAGTAGCCCTGCGCTGTGTTCTCCCTTTTAGAGCAAACCTTTCCTGATATAGAAAGGAAGGATTGGGAACTGGAAAAGTAAAGCCTTCAAAATTAATCGCCCAGGGCTGGAACCAAACAATAAGGCTGCATCTGAAGTGGTCAATATAAAATGTTTACTTGTATTCGGTGGCTTCTGAGAATGTAACGTACTCTCTTGATCTCTTACCATGGCAGGTTAGAGGCTGCTAAGACAAACACGAGATCGTCTGAGCGCGCCAGCCCATCCATCTGCACCAGTAACTCTGTCTTCATCCGAAGACTTCCTTCATGTTCTCCCCTGCAGAGAGACAAGGGGACACGATTCACCCACGTGGCAGAGCCTTTGCCCTCATGCCAAGAGTGGCATTCGTGGCAATGACCCAGTCACCGTACGACAGGTTCCATTCTGATAGCTAAAGGAGCCACTCATACTGAGAGTAAGGGAAAATGAGCAATTTGATTTTATTTTCACATGCAGAGCAATTGAAAGGAAGTAAATGAATATAATGATGGCATTTAAAAGAAAACCCAAGGTTGGCAGTGAATTAGAAAATAAATGAAGGGTAAACAGTGCCACTGATAGATTAAACGCAGTCCAGCTGTGTCTACCTGCAGCATTATTTACCCCTTTAAAAAAAATGACATAATTGAGAATAATCCTTTTCATTTATATAGCAAGCATGAAAGTATTTTCACAAACAGCAATTAAGTATAATTTGTAGATCTAAATTGTTCAAGAGAGATGAACTACTAACTGAATCTGTTTCACTCTCTTCTGATAAGAAGCAAGATAATAAAATAGAGCCTCTGCTTTGCATAGCAGACTGCGGGCAGTTTTCTGTGCATATTTGCCCTCTAAGCCCCCCCCCCCACCAAGAAAGAGCACACTGTGGGGACCTGAACAATCCAATTTGGGTTTAGATACTGACCACGTTCATCAGACTGTCCTTCCTCTTCACTTGCATAGGTCTAGTTAAAAGGTCAAAAAAATGCCTTTCTTGGGCAAATGACATTCAATTTCTCATGCGTGATGGTGTGGTGGCAACCCAAATTAGGTATATGGTTTTGAGGGATCTATGCTCCTTATTACTCATATCTTTTCCTAAGGGAGAAGACATTCTCACAGTACAGTAAGATATTTAACTAGCCTTTGCCCATAACTATGATTCTTTTAACATAATATAATCTAAGAAATCTTCAGTGTATCTTACCTTATTCTCTGACCACTTGAAGACTCTAAAACTATAAGCCTAATTTTAGAGTCTTCAAGTTCCAAACAAGGAAAATGAAATTCAGGGCAAAACCTGGAACACATTAAAGGGCAGTAGACAAAGGGCAAGCACAGTGGCCCAGGCCTGTTAACCCAGCACTTTGGGAAGCCAGCACGGGAGGATCACTTGAGGCCAGAGGTTCAAGATCAGCCTTGGCAACATAAGAAGACTACATCTTTTTTTTTTTTTTTTTTTTTGAGACGGTGTCTCATTCTGTCACCTTGGGTAGAATGTCATGACATCATAGCTCACAGCAACTTCAGACTGTCTGGGCTCATGTGATTTTCTTGCCTCAGCCTCCTGAGTAGCTGAGACTACAGGTGTGCGATGCTACACCTGGCTAGTTTTTCTATTTTTAGTAGAGATGGGGGTCTCACTATTGCTCCGCTGGTCTCAAACTCCTGAGCTTAAGCAACCCACCAGCCTCAACCTCCCAGAGTGCTAGGATTATAGGCATGAGCCACCACACCCGACTGGAAGAACCCACCTATACAAAAAATTCACTGAGTGCAATGGCCCATGCCTACAGTTCCAGCTATTGGGGAGGCTAAGGTGAGAGGATTGTTTGAGCCCAGGAGTTCAAGGTTGCAGTGAGCTGTGATCATATTGCCACTGCACTCAACCCAGGTAACAGAGCAAGACTCCATCTCTAATAAATAAATAGATAAATAAAAGATGGAACGTTTTTAAATTAGCCCCAAATAAGGTCTTAGGAAACCCTGGAGATAGAGATCAACACAGTGAATGTAAGAAGGAGCAGCCAGGTGAGGCAAGCCAGGGGAGTGATGAGGGTGGTCTAGTGAGTTCTCAGCTCTGCCTGTGCAGTCATCTGCCCCCAGCAGACCCCCAGTGTAGAAAGGCAGAACACTTCCCCCTGGGGCTGACAAGCACCAGCTAAGCGGGGATAGTGTCCCATTTCCATCAATTGCATGAATCCTATATTATTTGGGTACATCTTCGTGTTTGTTTTTCCCTGCTGAGAAAATGGTTTCCAGCAAGTAAAATTTCATAAGTTATATTCTAGTTATACTTCCAACAAGCCAATTATTTTTCCTTTTATTACTATTAGTTCTGCCTTGATGATAGATCATTAAAGGTCATTAATAAATGCAGCTGTGTTGAGATTTCCCAGAGATCACTATTTTTCAAGCCAAGGATTCTAAATTTAGTAAAAATCTTCCAAAAAAAAAAAAAAATACCTCTGACCAAGACAGAAAGCCAGTCTTAAAAACAAATGAACAAACTAATAAACCCAGTACTCGGCCTTTTGGAAATACAAACAGAAAGCTTATTACAGTCTAAGTAAAGTGTTTCTTCCTCCTGGGGACATTGGCTGATAATCTTTAGAGATAACATATGTGACATATTTAAAATCAGACATGTTGAGCCATACCCTAATGTCACAGAGAAGGGGTGGCTTCCCTGGCCTCACATACCATTAAGGACTGACTCTCAGGAGTGACATACAGACTTGGCCCTTCATAGCGGCTGAGTGAGCAACCCTGCTCCCCATAGGCAGCCCTCTGGCTCCAGAGGTGGTGGTCCCAGCAGCTATTTTGAGCCAGCAGGACCGTTAGGGCAGCCTGGGATCCTGGGGCTGTATGATCTTTAGGCCTGAAAACCACACTGTGGGGAAGGGGGAAGGGAGGATGATTTTTCCTCCGGTTATAAAAACTACTTAAATCAGCTATTCAGTTAACAGGATCTAATTTAAAGACCTTTCCATGTGTCTGCAGAAAATTTGTGGACTTATTAATAGGCTCATTCTGCTGGTAAATGTCGATGGGCTTCCGACCATCAAACACACTTACAAGAGGGGAGAAATGATGACCAAAAAAAAAAGCCCTGTCTGTTACCCAGGAGCCATGCCTCTCTGACTCATCACTGACTCCAGCTCGTCCAGGAAGATTGTGGAAGGCGCGTGATAGCGGGCAAGTTCAAATAACACCTGGGTGGGGAAAAGCAAGCACATGTTCAAATTCAAGTACTTAAAATTCTCAGATGCTCCCAGAGATTAAAAGCTTAGAAATGACTGTAATAATAAACATCCATGCTACACTCTGTTATTTCATAATAACTTTACAATCATTATAATTCTTCCTTCTGACCACTACCCCATGGGGTTGGGTGGTCCAACTATTTTCATTTATCACTTAATAAAATTAGATCTAGAGAGAGTAGATAGTTAGTTTAAGGCTACTAGGGAGAGCTTGAGATAAAGCTCAGTTCCAAAGCATCCAACTGGTTAGTTAACCCCTTGGACACTGCACCAGTAACATGTTCCATATGGACACAAGAGCCTTGGGAGACATAAAATCATTTGATAAAATTTTCCTTAACTTTTGGGGACAGTGGAAGGGTTGTTTTCAGAAGGTAGGAACGCTGGGAAGGGACAGAGTTCCAGTCATGGGTAACAGGGCTAAAGCATTTTGCTCCTCCACAGGGTAATGGAGTAAATTACCCTCAATTTTGCCACTTGGTAGGCTTAACTACTAGAAGGCAATTCCTGATTGAATAAGATGTTCTAATTCCAGAATAAAATAAAATATTACAGACTGAACAAGAACAGAAAAGCAACCATCAAAAGAACAGACATATAAAAACAAAATAAAGAGCTCTAAAGGGAGATGTGGTAGTGATGAAAAGAATATAACAACATAAACCTATTTTTTTTTTAAACCGTGAAACTGATCTCTTGAGCATCATATACAATTCTTCACTGGTTGATCGGAGAAAGCAGCAGAGATTTAGAAAAGAATGGAGATTCTTTAATAGGCATGGGGGATTTATTCTCCGTGTCACTTAGCACTAGCAAAGCAACACAGAACAAATAGGAGGGAAGGGCTCAGAGAAAGCCAGACTCTCTGTTTTCATGGGCAGCAGCAGGTCATCCCTACAATTCTCCCTATCACCAACTGGGAAGATCCTCGCCTTCCCCCACTGCTTGCCTGTATGGTTCATCCAAGCTTATGTGCCAGCATTTTCCTTTTGCAGAATCTTGTTTTACTAGAACCATTGGCTGTCTCCAATGAACTCAGAGAACAATGGCATTGCTAGGACACTCATCGAAAATGCCTTTCAGATACAATAGAGATCACCTAATTAGAAGTAAATCACTTTTTTCTTTGAATAGAGACCACCTAATTAGAAGTAAATTATTTTTTTCCTTGCCACACAAACACAAAAAACTTAACTGTACTTGACATTTGGGTGATTTCAAAGATAGCAATCTACCCAAAGAACAATGGAATATTAGACCCTTTTGGCTCTGCGCCTGTGGCTCAAGTGGCTAAGCTGCCAGCCACGTACACCCAAGGTGGCGGGTTCAAATCCAGCCCGGCCCGCCAAACAACAATGACGGCTGCAACCAAAAAAAAAATAGGCCAGGTGTTGTGGCGGGCACCTGTGGTCCCAACTACTTGGGAGGCAGAGGCAGAAGACTCGCTTGAGCCCAGGAGTTGGAGGTTGCTGTGAGCTGAGATGCCACGGCACTCTACCCAGGGGGACAGCTTGAGACTCCTTTCTCAAAAAAAAAAAAAGAATATTAGACCTTTTTATTAGAACCATATATATTTTCTAGAAGCTCACTAAGAGGGCAAAGAGACCAAGAACCTCTCCTAGACTGAACATTAAGGTGACCAGACGTCCCGCTTTTGGCAGGACAGTCCCGATTTTTAACAATTTGTCTCGTGTCCTGCGGCATTTTAAAAAGTCCTGATTTTTGGACTAGGGAACAGCAGGAGAATAGAAAGGGAATATTCGGTTTTCAGCTGCTGAAAAGGTTAATGTAACTCCATTTGGGAATGAAGACGTTAATGTAACTCCATTTGGGAATGAAGAGGTTAATGTAACTTCATTTGGAAATGAAAAGCCCTACTCCCCTCCCGGGCAAGGTATCAGAAGGAGACTGGCTCCCTCCCTTCCTTCTAGGCAAGGACAATTAGCTCAGAAGGAGCCAAACTGTCTGGAACAAACAAGTAGCCCCCTCCCTCTAGAGTAAGGTGACCAGATGTCCCGCTTTTGGCGGGACAGTCCTGATTTTTAACAATTTGTCTTGTGTCCTGTGGCATTTTAGAAAAGCCCTGATTTTTGGAAAGAATGCACGACAAGCTAGGGAATACGGGAGAACAGGAAGGGAATATACAGTTTTCAGCTGCCATGTGGCTATTTAGCCAGGATATGCATTTTATATTATTTTTGTTAATTATAATGTTAAACTTTAATAATAACAAATAATTGTTGAGAACTGATTATCGAGAACTGCTTACCAAAGTTTGCATTGTTGTCAGGCCCCGCCCCGCCCCCATGGTGTCCCACTTTACCGATGTTAAAATCTGGTCACCTTATGGAACATGCAATTGAAAGAGAATCACATCTGGAGTTTAGGTCTCCATATTGCCCACTCCATTGCTCTTGCCAGTCCCAGAGAATACTTAGAGTCCTGGGTAAGTGCTTCTGCAAGCATTAGTCTAAAATTTTCAGAGGCACTTGAAGGAAGTTAAATGATACAGAGGGTGGGGAGATGTTGAGAGATGCAAGCTTCAACAAGTGTATGTATTTGCTAAAGAGACCACTCAACCATTCAATAGCGATCAACTCCTAAGAGGCATCAACATTAGGAGGGGAGGGAGGAACATAACCCAAGAGTTTCCTATAAATAACTCTTTAATTGGAATAGAAAATGAAACAAGTGGTAGAAAAAGCTTCTTTGATTTAGGTGAAGGTACTGAAGGGCCTGAAAGCTTTGTGGTAAGGAGCCTGACAGCATGACCAAGAGTTTCCAGATGAGGATCTTCCCAAGAGCTCAGAAAATAAGAAGAAAATAGTTTCTGAAAGGAAAGGGTAAAA